GGTGACATTTATAAAGGTGCTTACAATATATCTTAGTTAGTGTCACCCCCCTCTTCCACCAAATTTTAAGCATTCTTTTTTTTTTTGCAGTACTGGGGCTTGAACTCAGGGCCTACACCTTGATCCACTCTGCCAGCCCTTTTTTGTGATGGGTTTTTTCGAGATAGGGTCTTGCAAACTATTTGCTCAGGCTGGCTTTAAACTGTGATCCTCCTGATCTCTGCCTCCTGAGTAGCTAGGATTACAGGAGTAAGCCTCCAGTGCCTGGCTTACTATGTAAGTATTATACTTTAAATTCCTCTCTAAACTCACAAAATCTTGCTGGTTCTCTAGTTAATACGTGAAATAAAATCTTTAACTCATATTCATTTTATGTGTATGATAGTCATAATTATAACTTCTTTGAAAAATTATCCCTTAATAACAGATAAATGGACATTCTTCTTCAAGGTTGGAGACAGCATCAATTGGTTTGTGTTCTCTGGAGAATGATTAGGCAGTATATCCCCAGAGCCTTAAAAATGTATGTAGCAGTACCTACTTTATTCATTAGTATATACTTTTTGGATAACTATTTGGCGATATCTTTTAAGATTTTAAGTTGTGTATACCGGAGGTTATTCATAAACGCATTTAGCTCAAATTCCAAACTTAATTATTATTGCTTTTATTAAAAATTTTGGGGATGGCTAAGTGGTAGAGCCCATGCTTAGCATTCATGGGATCCTAGTATCAATTCCCAGCACACAACAAATTTGGTAGCCAGGTTTTAAAAAGTTTAACATTTTAGGGCTGAAAGTGTGGCTCAAGTGGTAGAGTGCCTGCCAAAATAAGCATGAAGCCCTGAGTTCAAACCCCAGTACCATCAAAAACAATTTAACATTTTAGCTGGGCATGGTGGACTCTAGGTATAACCCCAGCTACTTGGGAGACCAAAGGAGATGGATTGCTAGAGTCTGATAGCCTGGGCAACACTGTGAGCCCCCATTTCAAAAACAAAAAATAAAACCCCAAAACAAAAAACCCTGGATTTGAGTGCAGTTTTTTTTTTAAACTCAGGGCTTACACCTTGAGCCACTCCACCAGCCCTTTTTTGTGATAGGGTCTTTCGAACTATTTGCCTAGACTGGCTTTGAACCATGATCCTCCTGATCTCTGCCTCCTGAGTAGATAGGATTACAGCCACAGTTGGGTTTTTGTTGTTGTTGGGGCTTTTTTGTTTGGGTTTTTTTTTTGTTTGTTTGTTTGTTTTTGAGACTACCTCTCATTATGTAGCCAGGCTGGCCTAAAATTAAGCATCCTCCTGCCTTGGCCTTCCTCCCACAAGTGCTGGGATTGGAGGCATGTACCATGATGCCTAGGCTGAGCACAATTTTAACAGTTTTAACGAAAAAGGGCACCACTGGTCACTGGACTATTGTTTCCCTATCTGACTCTTTTTTTTTTTTTTTTTTGTGGTATGGGGTTTGAACTCAACTCAGGGTCTACACCTTGAGCCACTCCACCAACTCTCTCATGAAGGTTTTTTTTCGAGATAGGGTCTTGTGAACTTTTTGCCTGGGTTGGCTTCAAACTGCAATCCTCTGATCTCTGCCTACTGAGTAGCTAGGATTACAGGCACGAGCCACCAGTGCCTGGCTCTGATTGTTTTGCATCTTTAATTTTTTCCTCTGTTGTCTCTCCCTCCTGTGGTCACCTTAGATTCCAGAGAAGACAGGAGTGACCAATAAACATCATTGGGATAAGAGATGGACACTATCCCAAGCAACAGAAAAAACCAGAATTGAGATAAGGATTGACCCAATAACTGGCCTGACCAAATTTACCTGTGCTATCAGCCTATACACACCTCAACCCTTCCTTCTCTCCCTTTTATATAAAACCTCAAAGTTCCCATGAGCCCCCTAAATTCAGACTTGGGGTTACTGAACCTCTTTATCTGTTCTTTCTTGGGGTTTGGACTCAGGGATTCTCGCTTGCAAAGTAGGTGTTCCACCACTTGAGCCACCTCCATTTTGCTCTGGTTAAATTTTGAAGATGGAGTCTCCCAAACTATTTGCTTGGGTTGGCCATGAACTGTGAGCCTCCTGATCTCAGCCTTCCATGTAGCTGGGAATACAGATGTGAGCCATAGATAGGCTCCTTTTTTTATCTTTCACCACTACTCATCTCTTTAATTGGCATATGACAGGTGGCTGAGCCGAGCCTCATTTGTTGGGACTCCTGGAGTCACAGTAACATTAACACTGAGAGACAGAAATATAAATAGATAATGGCCAGGCCAGATATAAGAATGGACCTCTGATCCATACTCTGTCCCTCCCAGGCCAAGAAACCAACCCATTATCTACAATAAACAGCCTACTGTAAGAAGCTAGGTCGCTATCTTTAGCAATCAGTCCAGGAAGCCAAATAACTCCTGTAACAATCAGCCCCAAATAACAAGGATTTGATAAATAACTGACAACTTCCCTTATTTTTGTCCTCATTTTTTTTTTGAGGTACTAGGGACTGAACTCAGGGTCTTGTGCTTGCTAGGTAAGAGCTCTACCAATTGAGTCACACCCCCAGTCCTTTTGCTTTTCTCTTTTTAAGTTTTGTTTTTCAGATGAGGTCTCACTAACTTTTGCTTGTCCTCGAACCACAATCCTCCTGTCTCTGTCTCCCAAGTAGCTGCGATTACAAGCTAGTACTACCATACCTGGTCCCTTTCAATTTAGGACCACGTGAAGAAAGCCAAATATGCTCGATATCCAAATGGGATTTCCTACTTCTAATTAGCCTGCTCACAGTTCCCCTCATGTGAACAGCCTCCAATCAGGGCATACCCAAAGCCCTTATGAAAGCTTTAAGCCACACTGCATGATGGGAGCTTACTACCGTAAGCTCTGAATTAATGACTTTTTTACTATTTTCATTTGGTTGGCCTTCATTTACTTCCACATCACATATAAGGTACATGACTCTGTAAACTGGGAAAAATACTACCTCTATCTCCTAGCGCCTAGAGCTATCAGCAGTTACACTACACATCTCATTCTCTGGCATTATCAGAAAGCCAGCCTGTAAGGCCACTTAATTACACTACTCAAGAAACCAAGATCTATGAGGTTCAGTTCCTCTCAGGGTATCTTAATTACTGAAAGTCAACAGATTTAATTTACCCTAGCACAATTAAGTATTGTGATGATAGAAATACAGACTATCAGTTAATGGTGGTCTATCATCCTTTTTTTTTTTTCTGGTCCAATTTTCAAGGTTTTGTGATTTTTTTGCATCAAAAAATTCAATCAATGCTGAATTTAGTCATCTTAAGTCTCAACCTGAGATGGCAAATTTCCTTGCAATTGTTGAAAATGTCCCCTTGGGACAATTTTAAATTAGGCTCATACAACAAAAATGCACATTTCATTTGAAAGCTTTTGTGTAGGTGTGGCCAAGCGGTCAAATCCAATTAAACAAAGACTTACTTTTTCATTAGGCTGTCTCTAGAGAGGTTCCGAGAAAATAAAATGGTGAAATCCCAAGAAACCAATTTTTTTTTTAAATACAAGGCAACAAAGATTGGTGCTAAGTAATTTAGATCAGTGTCAAGGATGATTCAAGTCATTGTAGCATAGATTATGAGGGAGAGATGCCAACTGCATTTGACTTGAGGATAAATGGTACCTTGACCTCAGCAAAGAGCCATAGGGTTCCTGTTGAGGAAAGAAGGTAGAAGAGGTGGAGGAGTATGGAAAGGTATTGAAGGCAGATGGATTTAACAAAGGCATGCTGGGATGGATGGTGAGGATAGAGGGTCAAATGCCTGGCTGAAGAACTATGCAGGCATAAGAAAAATTATTTCAAACCAGGTATGGTAGTATTTTTTTTTTTTTTGCAGTACCAGGGCTTGAATTCAGGGCCTACACCTTCAGCCACTCTGCCAGACCTTTTTTTTGTGATTTTTTTTTAGAGATAGGGTCTCACAAACTATTTGCCCCAGCTGGCTTCAAACCATGATCTGTCTGATCTTTGCCCCCTGAGTAGCTAGGATAACAGGTATGAGCTGGTGCCTGGTTTTTTGTTTTGTTTTTGAGACAGGGTCTCACTATGCAGTTCAGACTAGCCATAAACTTGAGATCCTCCTGCCTCAGTCTCTATAGAGTGCTGGGATTACAAGTATGTACAACCATGCCTGGCCAAAGTTTAGAGTTTTATGAGTATTTTGTTTGTTTTTTTAAGACAGGATATTGCTATGTAGTTCAGGCAGGCCTTGAACTTGCCATCCTTCTGCCTTAGCCTCCCAAATGCTGGGATTACAGGTGTGTGCCACCACATTCAGCAAACAGGACTTTAATGCTCTGTAGAACATGTGCCAGTTTTATATTTAAACTAGCAGTTTAATTCTAACATTCTTAACCCTTGCCACTTTCCTTTTTTTATCCTATGGAATCCCTCAATCTTTTTTTTTTATATTTTATTTATTGTATTATTGTTGTATTGGGGGTACATTGTGACATTTACAAAAGTTCTTTTTTTTTCCTTTTTCTTTTATTATTCATATGTGCATACAAGGTTTGGTTCATTTCTCCCCCCTGCCCCCACCCCCTCCCTTACCACCCAGTCTGCCCCCTCCCTCTCCCCACCCCAATACCCAGCAGAAACTATTTTGCCCTTATTTCTAATTTTGTTGTAGAGAGAGTATAAGCAATAATAG